TTGTTAGCACCCCCGTTAGCAGCGTTGTGAAAGCCATTAGCGCTACGATGAGCTCCATGGCCGTTGCTAGTGCCGTTTGCGCCGTTGGAGCCATTAGAGAGAGTCATTGTGAGAAGGGGATAAGAGTCAGAAACAAAGGATCTTGTGATGGGCGCTGGCTTGCTTTGGTTTTGACTCTGAAGAAAGGATGATGATCACGGAAACACTACCATGGAAACGAGTTGGGATCAGATATATGAACTGAAGCATTGCTATGATATGATAGCTACTCTGTACGTTGCGCATTACGGCTCGGAGCTAACTGAACCGGGTTAACAGACCTTGAGTCCCATCTACCGAGTATTTCGTGCATCCGACTAAAGCTCATGCACGTCTTCGGAAGATATTGACACTAAGATCGGAGGTTGCGTCAGCGTCGGCGCCGAGAGAATGACCCACTGTATCCTTGTCAGACCGGGCCCGGAAAGCCCGCGGCCAATGATATCGAGCCGGGGATGATAGATTTTGAGTTGATGTATTATTCTTGCGTGATATTCCAGACTCAAAAGGATCCGTATTTGCCTCAATGGAATGAAGTTGCAAGCTGAGACTTTTTCCATTTTAGCCGATGTGTTATCGGAGTCTGCCATTCGCCTCTTAATGTAATGGCTTTGAGGATAAGATACTACAAGCGAAGCGAAGCGTATATCTGACTTGACCGACTTGTTGGAAAAAGTAATAATAAGCTGATGGGAAAACTCCAGTCCATTATTACTACTATCTTTCCAGCAGCTCTTTTGTCAACAGCCCTTTAGGCGGCATACTTTGCTTCGCCGATGAGGCCATGTTATCGATAGCGCATTTGTTGATAGACCAGTTAAAATCCCTTTGAGGTAAGGTGTAGCCATCTGGTATATAGTAGAGACATGTCGCTTGGAGTTCAGAGCAATATACAATTAACTTTATATATTAATATCGGCTAGCTGGGCAATTGTCTCATGCGCCCGTTCTTGTAAACCTTAACGCTGACAACGAAACTCAAGGCTTATCTGGCAATTATGTCAACCCCTGTTCACTACTTGAAGTATCCTCAAGGCCGGAATTAATAGGATGATAGGCAATAATTAGTAGTCCCTTAAGAGAAAGAACTGGATTATACTTAATGCCGCGGTCTAAGACTGTTATTTTACCTAGGAAACTGAAGATACAGTGACTTGCCTCTGCTAGAAGGGATGTGTAATAAGGTTCAGAGTTAATGGAATTAAGGTTAAAGCGAAAGGTCAAAGCAAAAGGCAATTAAGGTGAGTAAATGTAACTGCCGTGTTTAGAATACGAGCTCCTTTTATTTCTACTATCTATAAATACAGTAACAGTCCTGCCCTCTCTGTATCTCTTCTCGATATCCTCTCATCTCTTCGTCAATCTGTTTGCCTGCAAATAACGCGTCCACTCCCATTGAAATCATGAAGCCTGTGGCTATTCTTCTTGCGTTGGCCAGTACAGCCTGCACAGTGTCTGCTGGTTTGCCCCGTTATGGTTCGTGATACCTATTCTGATTAAAGATGCTTCCGTTCTGACTGTATCTTTCACGCAGCGAAATGTACTGCTGCTTCGCAGTGCAATTCTAATTATTGCGCCCCCATGAGATATGCGGACTGCGACCAAGTCGTTAATTGCCACGGTAAGTAGCCAGACCACGTGCCTCAGAAGGACTCCCAATAGGGACTAACTACTAAAAGATAGCGTGTGCTATGGTGCATCCGTAGACTGTAAGCCAACCATGGATCAGGTCTTGCTGCTATTATACTAACTGATATGTAGCGCCGTGTTCGAATGACTGGGAATGCAACTCCAACCATTGCAAAGGTATATCATTGACCACTCCATACGAAATGCTTACTAACGCATCATAGGGGGAAAATGCTATGACTGCCGTGATCCTCGCAACCTAGGCAGGGCCAGAGCCCCTTACCTCTCTGTAGGCTGTATGTGTTTATTCTGAAGCTTACCGTCCTATTTGAAAGCTGACTGCTTCTTTAAAAGCTTCCTGCAGTGGATTCGGAGATCAATGCTGCGAGTCGCAGTGTCGAGGTACGTTGGCAAACCCTGGTTATGGTCTGGATGGAGCAATGCTAATCGTGTTGCAGCCACCACCCAGGGGAACATGCAATGCATTGATAATACGGTGATTATGGACAGGGGCGGACAGGGGCCGTTCTAGGTGCAGAATTGGCCTTCTAGGCGTTGATATTCGACATGCCAAGAGTTGAACTGTATAAATATCCCCTGACTGGAGAGGCTTGGCATTTGTGGAGCTGAAATGTTATTATGCAGATTCATAGATAGGTACACGACTCTAGTGCACTACCTCTTCGCCGCTCAGTCTGTAGTAAAGGAAAGATATTCAACACGATTATGAAGGATAACTCCCGTTTCAGTACAGAATGGTAAGAAAAACAGTTTTGCTTTCGCATTTAGTCTAGGCAAGATTGGGAATGATCTAGCTCCAGTGGTATCGACCTTGGCTCAAGCGGTTGCACCTTTCGACTCCCGATTTTGACGTCAAGGAGACCAAATTGCCGTTGGCAGGTCTCAGTATGATGAGCTGGGAACGAGTTAATGGCGATGCTAAGAATTTACCCTACCTTGGCTGTAGAAACGCGCCCGAGTCTTGATCAAGTAATCCAATCGCTGTCAACTGGACCGAAGCCGAGGTATCCCATGTATAGAATGAGGGGAAACATATCCGCTTGCACTGAATCAGCGATTTCAATTTTCAAAGATGGATATCGGTCTTATTAGTGTAACCTTGTGGATAAACGGTTCCTGACAAGAAAGCAATTGAGGCTTGTTATTCGCCGATTTTTCCCCGCAATCTCGCCTCTCCCCAGATTTCTCCGCGTATGACCTCGCTCCAAGGCCCACTACCCCAGATGGTTTCATGGGCGATTGATAAAGATTTATCCGCCCCATGATGAAACGGCATCTCGGCACATAGTGCCATTTAACTATAGATGTAGATATACTTATGTATATATATGCTGATACTTTAGCGACAGAGACAATAGAGACATTGCAATACCAACTCTTGGCAAGATGAAGTCTCTCACATCATTCGTGGCAGTTGCTCTGGCTGCATGCACTGTCACTGATGCCCGTGGGCTGCACTATCAATCTGAAGCTCCACTGAATATCAAGACAACCAGTGGTCATCTCTCAGGTTTCATCAACGAGACCGCCCCCGATGTTCGCCAATTCCTTGGAGTTGCCTACGCCGAACCCCCTCTCAAGTCTCTTCGCTTCCAACCTCCCAAGCGAAAGCACAGCTCAGAGCAGATATCAGCCAAGAAGTACGCGCCGTCATGCAAGCAAATCATCAGCAAGAACCCAACAGTCTACACTGAGCACATGACTCAGTTTCTTATCAATGGCGGCGACTCTGAGGATTGCTTGTATCTCAATGTCTACGCCCCATTGAAGCCAACTGCGCAGAAACTCCCTGTCTTTATCTACATTCCCGGTGGTGGGTTTACAGGCGGTGGGGCAGACTCGCTTTACAAGATCCCCGACAAGTGGATTCAGAAGACTCAGTCTCACATCGTTGTCACCATGAACTATCGCGTCAACCTCTTCGGCTTCCCCAACGCCGAAGCTGCGCAGCAAAATGTTGGCTTGCTCGACCAGCGCATGGTTGTTGAATGGACACGTGATAATATTGCAGCTTTTGGTGGTGATCCTCATAAGATGACTCTCTGGGGCCAGTCTGCTGGTGCTGGCTCAGTTGGCATGTACGGATACGCTTACCCCAAGGACCTCATCGTCAAGGGTTTGATCTCTGATTCTGGCGCTCCGGCAATGCTGGCTAAGGCTTATGGTAACCACTCCAGCTTCGACACTCTTGCTGGTAAGGTTGGCTGCAAGGGATTGGAGGGCAAGAAGCAATTGACCTGCATGCAAAAGGTTGATGCTTTAACGTTGCAGAAGGTTTACTCTGAGACACCGACCATCTCCTTCACTCCCGTTGGAGATAACATCACCGCCTTTTCCAACACGACTGACCGACTAGCGAGAGGTCTGGTCACCAGAGTGGTAAGTAGTGCTGAATTTCTCTTGTCATAATGAAGGTCTCACTGATATGTGATTGATAGCCATGGATCTTTGGTAACAATGCCAACGAAGGTGCTGGATTTGGCACGTACGATCCTAACGGTGTGACACCAGCCCAGACTGCTATTGGACTGCAGGCTATCGTCTGCCCAGTTGCTGCTGAGGTTAAGTAAGTGCTCCCCATGCCCTAAGATTTGTATCACTGACCCATGCTCTCAGAAACCGCATTAAGTATGGATACCCAACCTACAGATATTATTACACTGGAAACTTCTCCAACATTACCCCTCTGCCCTGGATTGGCGCGACTCATAGTGGTATGCCCACCGCCTCCACTGCATTTTCTCTACTGAAACATTTCCAGCTGAGCTTCCTCTTCTCTTCGGAACGCATTATGAATACCGTGGTAACTCCACTGAATACGAATGGGAGGTTGCCGAGGGCATGCAAAGTAAGTCTTTCGAACTCCGCCTTGCTTGGAGGTTTACTAATGCCTGCCAAGGTCTTTGGCTCTCTTTCGCAAACAACCCTAAGAAGAACCCTCAAGTTGGAAAGGTTACTTGGCCATTGTACAAGCCAAATGAGAACAAGATGGCTGTTTTTGCAGAGACTGGAAAGAAGTGGTTCCAGTTAGGCAAAGGGTCTCTAACGGAGACTCAGTGCAAGTAATAGGAAGTCGGCGTGTAGAAACGTAGGCTGCTGAAAACCTTGTCTTTAGCCACTGTCAAGGTAGACTCTTGAGTTAAATATGCACTCTTTGTTTAGAGACTACTGTAACATTTCTAGCAAAGACTTCTGCTTGCTAAGTTATGGGCTAGAAGTGTTATTTGCAGTTGAGAATTGTGGCTGTGAGCTTATTCTAGCAAAGAGAACCTAGCACCGTTTACTAAGACCACTGTCACACCAAGCACTGTTTAAAGTGTCAGTGTATCTAAATCCTCTATAGGGATAGAGTACTTAAGTAAATGTTAAGTGTCCATTCCAGTTACTGGATGTACTTCCAGGGCTTTTAATTCTTCATACGACCGAGCCCAATACGTTGTCGTTTCCCCTATCATATGGGCGTGAGACACTACCCGGCGTTGCGTACTTGATGCTGTACTTCTCCGAAGTGTAACACCGAGAACTGTAGAACAAGAGGTACGAACCGTCTTCGTAGACAAGACTCGGCGCCTGAATCAACTTTTCGTCGTCAGTCTCACTGAAGATTTCAACTGGGTCGCTTTTCAGTGTGAAACCATCATTCTCAACCTGGAAGATGTCAGTCATGATCGAATCTAGCAGTGACTGGACATACCAGTTGCAGCATGATAGACGTCTTGCCGCAAATGCGGTTCCCATTGATCTTATACACGAACAATCTCGTACTACACACGGGATCACAGAAGGCACTTAGGTCGATCACTCCGCCCTTGTCAAGCTGGCAGACGAGGGGTTCATCTCGTGGTGTATAGGGCCACGGATCGAATCGGAAAAAGCCACACCGATACTTCACTTTCCATCGTTGTCGTCTTAGATGAAAGCACTATAGTACATGACCCATTATTCGACATCCCATATAACATCTAGAGGCAAGATATCGAGATTTTGGCCCCAAGAGCCAGTGTTCTTCAGCGGATCGTCGTCTAGTAGCTCCGACTTGCCCTTTGCTTCGTTGTATCGTGCTATCTGTACCAATTTTCCCTTGTCTTGGTTGCCAAAAGAGTGCCATGTGCATGACTCAAGGCCAGAAAAAAGAAAAGGATTGGTCCGGGAATCTTTCACTGAGGATGATTGTAGTCGCCATCGAAAGTTGAATTAGAACAGCCGTCAATGCTTCTACTTCTATCATAAGAACCATGGACGGTGCCGCCACTTTGGCCACCATTGCTGTATTTAGGCAAGTTCGGGTTGCATGTGTATGGAAAAGAGATTGATTAGTAGCTGTTATGATCAAAGACATAAAGAGGGAGCAGCTCAAGGACCTATCACTAATGCCTTATGACAGACATTCTCAAACTCTTAGCGACAGACGGAAGCAAGGTCAAAAGTGGGGATGGGCTCAGCCGAGGCTCGTGAGGGATGATCTCATCTCTTTGGGGTAAGGAAGATATCTTAGACAACAACCCCCGCAATAGACAGAGCTGTTGTGGACTAGCTCTGCTTCGGCATTCTCGGTGACTAACACGTGATTGTTTGCTTGTCGCAATGGATTGAGCCATGCTTGGGTTGTTACAAGTATTCTGCTACTTGTTACCGGCATTGACTCTTCCGAGGCTATCAGCGGTGCACTCTGACCCCAATCTTCTTCCCTCGGAAGTTAAACCCTTCTTTGCCCACGGAGTTCTCTACCACTCTCTATGCACATCTGAGGCTGTGGTGTATAAATAAAGAGGGGTTCGGCGACAGCGACAGAGGCTACTTTTCGCAGCTCGGTAATTTCTTCCCTTGATAAGTGCTACCTTTCGCTTACTTGGATCAAGGTACTTCTCTCCGATTACAAAACGCCGGCGACCTGATTCTTGAAAATGCCACCTGATCCCAAGTTATACTTACCACCAAATGTGCCATGGAGCGAACCTGCGTGGTATCGTACCGGCAACTCAGTCTACCACAACGCATCTCATCGGAAATTGAGGGATAACATCCGGAAATATGTCGATGAACATATTCTTCCATATGCTCTAGAATGGGAAGAAAAAGGCGAGGTTCCACGATCAGCGGCACTGAGTTACTGCAAATCTGGAATTCCTTTCGACGACGTACCAGAAGACTTCCGACCTCAGGATGTCCCCAACCTAGCAGGAATCCCTCATGGCCAATTGGATGCCTTCCATTTTCTTATTTCAACCGACGAGATGTCACGTGTTGAAGGCGGAGTTTCTATTGCTCTCGGCGGCGCGTCTACGATCGGGCTGCCACCGGTACTCTATTATGGAACTCATAAACAAAAGTCTCATTGGTTTCCAGGACTATTTTCGGGGAGTGTGAATTTCTGCCTAGGCATCACGGAGCCTGGTGGTGGTTCAGACGTAGCCAACATCCAAACCACAGCTGAAAAGTCTTCAGACGGTAAGTTTTACGTTGTGAACGGTGCCAAGAAGTGGATTACAGGTGCTCCATGGGCAACTCATATGACTACTGCTGTACGAACCGGTGGTCCAGGTGCCAAAGGTATCACAGTCCTCGAGATCCCGCTCGATAGCCCCGGCGTGTCTGTGAGCAAGATCTTCAATAGCGGACAGAACGCTGGAGGGTCTAGTTTCGTAGATCTCGAAAATGTCAAAGTCACCGTCGAGAATCGGATCGGCCCAGAGAACGAGGGCTTTGGAATCATCATGAAGAACTTCAACAGAGAAAGGTATGCACTCGCGGTCAGTTGTAATCGAAAGAGCCGTACCTGCCTCGCTATGTCATTTTCATATGCGATGGAGCGAAAGACCTTTGGGAAGAGGTTGATTGAGAACCAAGTCATACGGCGCAAACTCGCTGAAGTTGCACACCGTGTTGAAGCTCATTGGGCTTGGCTTGAGCAGATTGCTTTCCAAGTCAATTCGTCTAGCGAAGGCTGGCAGGAACCAAGCATTGCAAGTCAGATTGCCTTGGTCAAGATCCAAGGCGGACAGATGGTGGAATTGGCGTGCAGAGAAGCACAGCAAATCTTTGGGGGCGCTGGATATCAAAAGGGCGGCCGTGGGGCGACGGTGGAGCAAATTAGCCGCGACCTTCGGATGCTAGTGAGTACCTTCTTTGCTTCTTTATCTCTGAAATCGATAAGCAGCTGACAGCAAATAGGTAGTCGGCGGCGGCAGCGAGGAGATTCTTACAGATCTTGCCCTCAGACAGGAGATAGGAGCTTTCAGCAGGCAGGCAAAAATGTAAATAAGGTAAAGAGGTGTGTCTCATGTATTTAAAGAATCAGTAGAAGCACAAGTAGGATAATAGTGCTAGATTTTACATGTATTCAGTTCCGCGATTCCGCCTTCTACCGCAATCAGCATGTCATTGTCAAGTGACGATATTTCTTAAGCCGCCTGGTAGGAGCCGACCGAGACCTGCTCCAACATCGAATCAAATTCCTAGTCCAGCAGCTGCAGAAAGGCATATCAATATCGGTTTCCATATCCCAGCTTGCCTCGTCTTCTTCTACTCGAAAAGCTCCAGCCTGTACGGCATCGTGTTCAAGGCATCCGACGACCACAAACCTCGCACCCTATTGGACGTTCTCGCCCAAGACAAACTCGACCATGTTAGCCGAGACCTCGACGACTGTCTCAGTTTGCCACGCCAGCTTGTCAATAACGTATTTCGATTCTTCTCAATTGGCTGGCTGCACAAGAATATACGCTCTAGTAGTGTAATATTCCTAGATGAGGAGTCGGCTCCATTAGACCTTCCAGACGCTCATCCGTGTGGATACGGCTTCGCATGAAAGGAGACGCCTACTGCTGTCACTGAGATCAATCCCTCTAGCTGGGAAGGCGTCCAGAGTAAGGTCAACTGGCGGTTGTATTGCCACCCCGAGCGGTACCGCACCCTGGTGATCAAGGGTACGGACGATGCTTCTGCACCGGCGACATCGCACATGCGTTATGACGCGTACGGTCTTGGGATTATCCTCCTTAAGATAGCCCTGTAGTAGCCTGTAGTAAAGTTATACAGTAGGGAGTAAAAGTTAAAGGCCTAGTTTAAAGAGGAGCTCTAGAGCGAGGATTTTAAGATATAGGAGTTTTAGAAAAAGCTTATAAAGAAAACCGCGGATCTGCTTTAATATATAATAGGTAAAGACTATATTAATATTATTTATTAACTGGTCTGGTATTGAAATGCCTGCATCGTGAAACTCCATGAGATAACAAAAAGGACAAGATGCAGATAACTGTCAATGAAGAGGAAGTGGTAATATCTGCAGCGGGCGGGTATTATCGCTTTTCTGCGGGTTAATTATTCCACTAAATATTATCGGCAGATGAAGTAACCTTATTAGTCTAGTGAAATGCTAATCATCACTCCCCCTCACTTTGCACTTCAAAAGTATCTGGCAACCCAAGAGATACAGCCTACTCCGTAACGATGAACTCTTCACATCAGAATGATACGAGTCAAATTGAATCTGTCGCTGAACCTTCAATATCTAAGAAGCGCCAGCGTGGTTACATACGGAGCTTTAAGGCCTGCGATAGATGTAGGGCAAAGAAGACAAGGTGTATCCTAGATAGGCCTGAAGAGCCTCTGACTGCCTGCCAAAGGTGTAAGAGAGAACGACAACTGTGTTCTCTGACAAACCAGTCAGTATCAGCTAGGGACCTTGCAAGAGAATGCGATATTTCGCATGATAGAACCAGCCATGAAGAAGGTTAGTTAAGAATCATGGGCCAAGCAATTGAGTCTTGCTAATAACACAGGGCGAAACTTTCAACACAATGAGCACAATATTTCCAGGCCAAATAACCCTCAGAATAACCCCAAATTGTCTATCCCGACTGCTGAAAGCGATCATGAGGGGCTAGCGACATCGGTAGCTTCATCCAGATCTATGCAACCTCCACTTCATAGGCTGCCAGACTTTCATTTGATGCTACCTCTAACGACTAGAGCGACAGACAATATCGACACTGTTGTACATGCCCCCATCTCGAACGATGGTGACACTATCAAACTTCTACAGCAGTCTTCAAAATATGAGGATGCACAAGATGCGGCTCAGCGCGATGGTTCGCCAGCTCTGTCAAACCTTTTACGACACGGGTCTTGGACAATGAATGGACCCTTCATATCAGACCTTTCGTCCCCCAGCATCGAGGCACTACGACTATGGAACAGTTTACGATTTGTTCGTATGGGCTGGCTGACTGCACTTGAGGCGGTCTCCTATATGGACCTGTAAGCTCTTCGTATCGATTGCATTATCTCAAGGCTGATCCAATTATGAAGGTTCTTTGAGAACATACTCCCTCTATCACCGGTAATGGATGACTTTTATAGCCACCACGACAACCATTACAAGCTGATAACACAAGAACCCCTCCTCTGCTGCACGATTCTCATGATATCCTCGCGCTTTCATTGTCTGCAAGGTACTTCCAGCTGGTCAAGAAGCGTCGCTCTACACACTCGCCTTTGGGAACATTGTGAACATCTTGTCAATCGAATTATCTTTGGCCAAGAAAAGAAGTCCAAAGCAAAAACTCGAACGCTTGGATCAATTCAAGCCCTCATTCTTATGACTGAGTGGGCGCCCCGATCGGTTTACTTCCCGCCCAAGTCAGATGGCTGGGATTCCGACCTACTTTTTCAGCTTCCCGACGAACGTGACCAGTTAGATGGAAACTCGGCAGATGTGACGCAAGATCTCCAAGGGAATTGGTATCGAGATGTTGTAGCTCCCGCAAAGACGATCGATCGCATGTCGTGGATGCTTCTTGGTTGTGCAGTCACTCTTGGCCATGAAATCGGCTTGTTTACTGCAACGGGAATGAACTCAACAGTCAACGATACGCAACACCACAGAATAAACCACGTCTGGCTACGCAAGGTGATATTTATCGCCGATGAACAACTATCCAGTCGAAATGGGCTTACATCAGTGATTCCTTCGAGCTTGAACTCATCAGCCTTTGAACCCTGGATAGGTTCTTCATCTGCTAAGGCGGAGCAAACGCGCAAGTTTGTCAATGGCCAACTGGCTCTCGCAGAGTTAGCTCGATCAATCTCGAATACCCTGTTTTCTTCGAGAAATACTACGCAGGAGCATATACAGAGCTACAAATACGTGAGCAGCATAGAAGAATACCAGCAGAAACTTGCCGCATGGCGAGAGGTATACCTGGATAAGCAAGGTAAGTCAGGCTTCTCTCTATCCAACTAGCTCACTGACAGCTCTGTCCTTCCTCCAGTATTATCATGGCACACATACGATCTGCTCGAAATAGAGTACCAGTACGCTACCGTATTTCTTCACAGTTTGGGAATGCAGGCTGTGGTTGATCGGTCCTGTAGAACCAATCCTGACGATCCGAACGCCGCAAACCGAGCCACCGGGAACTGGATACTAAACTTCGCCACGCCGACTGACCTTCGGTTCATCAATACAGTAATCCAGGGCAGCTGTGAGCTGATGCAAAGCGCAATACACCTAGCTGAACGCGGGTCTCTGCAGTACTGTCCTACGCGTGTTATCACCCGCGTCATCGGTGTTTCTGTATTCCTTCTCAAAGCTCTTGGCCTGGGCGTTGAAAGAGCAGTTTTCAACAAGTCTTTGGACCGGCTTGAACATGTGGTTCGGACTATTCGCCACAGTACTTGGGACGACTTGGATCTTGCAAAACGTTATGCCGATGTCTTGCATCATCACATCTATCAACTCAAGAACGGCTCTGGCACACGAGGATCCCATCAAGAATCGTCTATTGTCGAGCAGAGGCCGGGCGATGCCTTGACTGAGCGTGGAACAAGCTACGAAAGTAGTGACATGTTCGGTAATATACATGTTTCCGATGATTGGCCCGACTCACTTGCCTTTCTCGATGCTTCGTTGGCTCCATTCGGCATCGCCACTGATGAAAGCTCTGGACTTGCCGGGCTGGGGGATAGTGATTGGAGTTTGTTATGGAACATTCCCTCATTCTATACGCCCTTGTTTCCTCCTTGAAAGCAGACACATACATAGTAATTTCGATTCCACTAGGCATCGCTCCCAAACCCTCCATATTCGACATGCGATTGTCCTTGTCTTTACAATTCAGTGACCATTGATAGGTGAAATTCCGATTGCCTTATGGTTGCCATTCAGTGCCACCTTTGCCTTTGCACCCTGAGTAGCATATCTGTCCTCGAGAGCCTGCCACAAAAGTCAGATATGAATATGTCACTTTCTTCTGAGACATTGCCTACCCAGTATTTGTTAAAGCCGACGCCTTCACAAACTTCAGCAGCGGAGAGAATTGTTGGCGGCGGTCCGATTGGCAAGCTCGTCTTGAGAGCTTGGAGTGTCTCGCGAATGCTCTTCAACTTGGCTGCGACAAGCATGAAGGGGTATGCAACGGCACTGAACCCTAGCTCTGCTAATTCCGAAGCGGAGAGGTTCTCGGTCATCCCCCCGTCGATTACTTCTATTATCAGCATTTTGTGACTAGGATGACTATGGACTTACATACTGTTGGCCAGCATAGGCATTTGAACCTCCTTAACAGCTCGCTTCATTGCCTCTCGGTCAGGTAGGGCCTCGATGAAGATGCCATCGGCACCAATTCTTTGGAACTCCTTTGCGCGATAAATGGCTTCTTCCCAGCCAAGAATGAGAGAATCGGTACGGGCCAAGATGAAGATATCTAGGCCGTTGTCTCTGGCATCACATGCCGCTTGGATACGGGCAAACGCTTCTTCGCGTGGCACAACGGACTTACCCTTAGTGTGTCCACAACCTTCATATCTTTAGTCAGCCTGATGGCACTGAAATGAGAGCAAATCTTACGTTTGGGCCAACTCTGGTCCTCAATCATAACACCAGCTGCTCCAGCAAGAGCAAAGCTCTCAACAGTCCGCTTCACGTTGACGGGTCCCCCATAGCCCGTATCTCCATCCGCTATGATAGGAACAGACGTCACACGAGACGTCTCTTGGATTTTGTCACACATTTCCTGCATCGCGATGTAGCCAGTGTCAGGCAATCCGTGAGAACTGGAGACAGTATATCCGGAGATAAACAGGATGGGAAAGCCGGCTTCCTCAACAAGCCGAGATGAGAGTGCATCATAAGAACAAGGGACGGCGAGAATTTTGGTTCTGTCGTTGTAGGCTTCTATCATCATACTTCGCAGCCGCGATGCCCGTGACGATGGCAGTCGACCACGTGCATTAGGAAAGCTAATGGTTGCGGTGTGGGCGTCATTGCCCTTTCGCTCTACCTCAATTTCCTTGCCACTTTCGAACGTGAAAGGGAACCGCACATCGTCTTTGTAGGCTGCTGGCATGATGAATGAATAAATAAATAAACGTCAAGTATGAAGATGGATGTTGTAGACCTGAAGTATAAATAATCTTGTAGCTCATCAGTCAATGTTACTGGAAACTCGACTGTTCATTTATACCTTGATTATGCCCATATTCCCGGAAGCTCCATTATTTTGCCTCCCCATAGCGTCGCGACGAGCGGGGATTGGCCGTATTTCCACAGCATTTAGCATTGCAGCCAAGGATGGTGGAGCTAATAACCCACTTTAGATTCCATCAGATCCCGTGAGATCCCTTGGAAACCGAAGAAGCACCGGTTAAGCCCATACCGTAAATTCTCATAATAGAATTCACTGCGTGATAGCTTCAGCAGCAAGCACTTTTCCTGCAAGCCTCATACTGCTCCAGCAAAAAGTTATCCTTTCTTTATTGCAGATCTTTATATTATATAATAGAGGCATAAAAAAGTCTTTATAGAGTTTCTTTCATCCATTCCCGCTCATTTAATCGCTTGCAAAGGTCAGTCGAGTTACCTAGTTTGGGAATAACTTCAATGTGATGAATTCACTTCATAAGAATCTACATTAAGTTGCCTGAAATATCAACCACCACGCCACCAGCCAGCCCCCTAAGCAATCGGGATTCTTTGCCGACCCATCTCGGATCCCCATTCCATGAAATTCCGACGTAACTTCTGTATCAGCTAAGCGAGGATTCCCAGCATGCTGTGACACTTGCTTGTCTGTGACAAGCTTATTATGTACGTTATAGCTTAGGCTGCCAAGACACGCACAAATGAGAACTTGGCATTTTTCAGTGGCAATTTAGTAGTCCCATCTCCTCGCCTGTTGCCGTGGTCCTTCGGAATCTCGGCGTTAATTATCGGCGGAGCTCCTGCCACTAGCACACGATTCCTTTAGATCCCTTGAAATCCCGCATCGTGGTCGGTAGCTCGCTGCCAAAAGACGGAACAAGAACGGATTCGTCCTTTTTCCTTGCTCTGCCCCAGATTCAACCCCGCATTTTCAGAACCTGGGGGAATTCGTGGGGCTGGCCAATGGGGAATTTTTTCTACTTTGGTTTCCCTTCAATGTAACTATTCCTTCTTCTTCACGTTGGCTATAAATATTCGACTTTCTCCAGCATTATTCCGCCGAAGCCAGAAAACCACGCTGGTTGTCTTCTATCACGACTACCGCGGTCTATCACCTCCTCAACCTATCTTAAGATGTCTACCGGCAAGCCTGAAGCCAGGGATCTGGAAAGTCCCAAAATGTCTATGGACGAACATACTAGCGTTGAGGTTCCAGCTGATGTCAATCGCCGAGTCAGACGACTGGTATGATCTGTTCTTCCTTATTAATTGTGCAGTGCTTTCCAAGGCTAATCTAACCTGGTCCAGTTCGACTTCCGCGTTCTTCCCATTGTCTGTTGTCTCTACGTTTTATCCTACCTTGACCGAGGCAACATTGGAAATGCGAAGACTGCAGGCGCCCAAGATGCCCTTGGTCTTAGCTCTTCGCAGTGGGCTTGGGTATTGAACTCATTTTACATTGCTTATATTCTCTTTGAATGGACCACGATGTTTTGGAAGATCTTCCCCGCGCATATCTATGTTGCAGCCCTCTGTCTCGGGTGAGTCTCTCAAGTTCCTGACTGATGATCTAGCACTGATGAACTCTTCCTAGTTGGGGAGCTGCTGCCATGAGCTCTGGTGCAGCTCGAAATATGGCAGAATTGGTTATTACTCGCGTTTTCTTAGGCATATTCGAGGCAACATTTGGTGCCGGCGCTCCTTATTTTCTATCCTGCATATATAAGCGAGAAGAACTTGGACTCCGCATGGCTATTTTGCTAGGCATGTCCCCCCTTGCTAATACATTTGCTTCCACTTTAGCATATGGTATTACACACATTCGCAATTCACTGGAACCGTGGAGGCTTTTATTCATCATCGGTATGTCAACCTTGACCTCTAACGACCCCAGAAGCCACCATAATAACGCCTACCACAGAAGGAGCACCGACTATTGCCTTTTCTGTAATTGTTTACTTCTTCCTAATTGATTCTCCCTCGACCGCCAAATTCCTCACCGAAGAGGAGAAGACCTTTGCTGTCGAACGTCTACCAGTCCGAGATAATACATCTAATCAAGCGGTTAGCTGGAAGCAGATTATATCCGGAATATTTGACTATAAAAATTATATGCATGCTGCTATACACTTCTGTTGCAATTTCTCCTTTGCTGCCTTATCCAACTTCTTGCCTACTATCATACATAGTATCGGTTATGACTCTGTTACTGCACAGGGGTTATCAGCGCCGGTATATTTTGCTGCATTCATTCTTTGCCTTGCGTCTGCTTTTTTTTCTGACCGGTATGGAAACCGCGGCTACATTGTTGCTAGCTTTGGTGCCATGGGGGCCGTTGGCTATGGTATTCTTGCTGCTGTCCGGGACTCGACAGGAGCTAGATATGCTGGAGTGTGGCTTGCAGCCTGCGGGATCTTCCCAGCTCTGGCTATGAATATCACCTGGCTGCTCAACAATCAAGGGGGCGACTCCAAAAAGGGAGCAGGTCTAGCCATCTCACTAACCATCGGACAATGCTCATCTCTTATCAGCAGTACTGTGTTTCCCAAATCAGCTGGGTATGCCACCGTACCTTTGATCTTTTCCGATTGCTAACTTCTTGCTAGGCCCTTCTATGTAGTGGGTTGCGCTATCGGTTGCGGTATGAGTGGGCTCATTGTTATATTGGCCTTGGTTATGCACTTCCTGTTGTCAAGGGAGAACAGGAAAAGGGATGAGCTTTACGGACCTGTTGACAAAAGCCAGGCAGTTGATGTTTCACAGCAGGGAGACTATGCCAGGAATTTTAGATACTTCACCTAGGAGGATGTACATTAAGGCTGGCAAATCAAGTAACACATCATCTACGAGGCCTTCTAAATGTACTTGTAGTTTCGTCTCACTCCAATAAAACTGCATGGTACTCAATTGACTGGGTGTAATTAACAATGTTTGCTAGCAACTTTACTAACACAACCAGCAAAGTCTCTACAACTTCAGGTTTTAACAGAATGTCCTATGTTCTACCAGATCTCCTTAATGGGCTTAAGAGATTCAAGACCGTTCTTTACTGACCGTCAAATCTGACCAAGGGGCGACGAAGCGCGGTTAAAAACAACTTACAGGGGCACCTTGGCTACATCGTGGTGAGGTGAGTGGGGTGCGGCGGCGGCTCCAGGCCAGATTCAACTCTAACTAACACACCTCAAAACACTCTTCAGGCAGCATACCAACTGCTCACACAGTTGCCCAATGGAGAAAGATCCTGACTATCAGCTGTGTTGTATGACTTCTATTTCTTGAATGCTTTTTTCGGCAATATACCTGTTTTCAGCAGTGCTACAGCATAAATAATAGGGATAGAAGGGATCATTTGACATGTGATAATTCTTACAGATGAGAAGAACGCCAGGGGAGCTAGTCGGCATTGGGCACTTGTGAACGTAAATTGTAATGGTGCACCTAGTTGGGCGTGAAAGGGATCTGATATCTGCTGTGAAGAGCTTTGCCCGTTGTGGACAGAATCATGTTCGACTGACTTCAGGATCCTCGTATTGTTTTAACCCCTATCGAAAATATTGAAACAGAAACATCATTTTGAACATATATCAACAAACATCAGCGACACAAACTAACTATGACACACAACAACCAAGATCAGCAGGCCTGAATCGTGGTCAGATCTCCAGAACGTTTTCTCCTAAGTAGAAGCAACTTTCCAAGTTCAAGAGGGGGAAAGCGGCCAAGGTCATGGGCATTTCTAACGATAATTCTTAAGTATACCACCACAGCTGAATCACTGACGAGGATTGTGTTACAACGGACACGGCGCGTGCACGGGCCAGATTAATTGTACTTCGTCGAATTGCCACCACGACTGCGTACAGTAGTAGTAGTAGGGACACCCGTGCCCGATGGCGAAGGCCCGGGGTCGGAACCAAGGCCGATTCAGAGCCAGGGCCATGGCCATCGGGGGCGCGGGACTCAGCTGAAGAGGAGGCGGACCGTCCCTCGTCGACAGTAAGCCAGCCGTCAAGTAGGATCTTTATATATTTGTATGACGATAACTAGCCTGTATGTATCTATCTACTTAGAGGACGTATTTTTGAAGATTAAAGCGCCGCAGGATTAGTGCATTGCTATCTCGTAATCTTTGCAATGAACCCTCCCCCCAACCCTCCATTCCTTCCAGGAACTGCACACGCAAATATCTCGGCGCCCGGTAGCCTATATGGCGCTGCTCTTTAACCAAACGCACCGCCGGAGTGTAGTAGTTTCCCAGCCCCGGAATAGCCTCGATTGGGCTACAAAACACCGAGTTATTCGCCTGCGCGGCGCTGGGCACTTATCAGGTGGTAGTTGTGTAATCACATACGATGTCCCGAAATTACTCCGCAAAATGACCCCACGATAAGTTCTGCTTATCATGTACGTTATTATACAAGTGCTGGTGGTTACCGTGCTCACCATCAACTTCAGCATAACCACCTCTGTGTATTAAGTGGCTTCTGGGCGCTTCCAATAACGCCTTGCCTCCTCGCGCCCGCAGCCTCTATCCTGACTTCGTTTTGCCAAGCTCCTTTGCCTCTTATAAAGCCCTAAGCCTTTTATTTAGTATCAGTCTATTAATGGTTACTTACTTACTGTCTCTATTTAAAAGTATTATCTTTCTCTTTTATATCCTTTAATCTTTATTTTTAAAGTAATATAAGTTTTACTTTAATTAATAAGCTATTTTTAATTAGAAATTCTAGCTTAAAGAGTTTCTTATTATAGCTTAAAGATATATTATAATTAATTAATATTATTAACCTTTTTAACTTATTACTCTTTAGTTTTTTAAGTATATAAGTATAACTTTTCCCTTAGCTTTAGTAATATATAATTAAGGTATATATTCCTAGCGATTTCTAGGCTATATATTTTATATTATAAGGCCTATTTAAAGACTGCTACTT